TGAATAGGTGAGTAAGTGACAATGCAGTATTTCTGCATGTAGAAAATATGCTGACACACAATCAGTGACTTGTAATGGCAAAACCCAAATTACCAAAACAAAACACTGGTGGGAAATGTCCAAAAGGACTACTGAGTCTAGTTACCATGAGTTTGCTACTGAAGAGACCCCAAGAAAGTAGGGGCCCGGGAGCCAGGGTGACTCTTAACACAGACACTGATCCTTCTCTGCTTAGGAAATTAAAGAGCCAAAGTTCAACAATCCCACTGTGCTCTCCATTAAGTTGTAATAAATTAATTTCTATCCCATGGGAAATATGCTTGCAATTTCTTAAAATGTGAGTGTTATCTTGAGCAACAGACTGAGACTCTGGAAGAAGAGGTAACTGGATGAAATTCACAACACAGAGTCCATTGTATTGTTTTCTAAGTGTGGCACTGGAAGCCACACGTGTTTGTGTTGCAGCGGCGGAGATGAAGATGGATGATCGTGCCTCCAAAGGGCACAATGGCTAAGATGCAATTACTGGCTTTATAGAAAAGAAAAAAGCCAGCCATTAGAAACCTCAAAACCAGAACACTTTGCTTTTTAATGATTCCAAATTATCTAAGCAAGCACCAGAATGAAAATTGCTCAATTAGCCCTGTGCTCTCCTTGGAAGAGACGAGCGCTTTATAGAATTCGATTCGCACTTTGTTCACACATTCTTTGAAATGAACAATACATGTCTACAATTGTAAAAAGTTTTCATTTCATAAAATGTGATGATTCACATTCTCTGTGCATGTTTAATTGTTCAGGATAGAAGATTTTCAGCACAAGTTCTGTGATTTAGTTTTCCCAATTTGGGCAGATGTGATATTACCGTGAAAAACAAGAGTGTTACTTGATTATCTTGGGAGGCTGATATGGTATGGTTTGAAAAAAATGGTGAGTTTACCCTGGGATAAGAAAATATTTTGAGCTATAACATAACAAATTACAAACTGCCTACAATTATTTTGACCAAGTATGACATTAAGCATAATGGAGTGTCTAGATTTCTTTCACAAGCTAAAACCATCCAGAGCCTCTGATTAAAATGCTCATTTTTGTGTATCCATCAAAAAAGCAAGAAAGGGTGTGGGTTTTATGTGCACACTGACACAGTGGCTTTACTTCCCCAGCTGAGAATGGTAGAGGCCTGGAAACAATTTAGTCCTTTAAGGTAAAGGTGTGAAAGGGAACTCAAACATGGACTGCCTAAGACATTCTCCCAATTGGACACTTTAGCAGGTTATTGGCTAACTGAAATTTGAAAATTTGAAATCAGAAAAACTGGCATAGAATGCCAGAAAGCAACCAAAGCCATTTGCTTACATGAACACGGCTGAATAGTTCCAAACTCCCTTTACAATTGAACTTGATTCCTGCCTGAGTCATATCTCTTTTCACCAACTAGACTGAAGAGGGCTAATCAAAGCATGTAATATGTGCTTGATAAATGTCTTCGTTAAGTAATTCCAGAGAAAAGGTTTTGATTATCTTCATCACCTCCAAAGCCTGCCTCCACCACTTCTTTTATGTCTCAAATCGTTTTGGAGCAACTGGATAGTAAATCTGAGTCATTATAAAATGGCCGAGAGTACAGCAGTATCCTATTCAACAGAGGCCATAAAACTGCAGTTTTTAGGAAAAGATTTACATTCTATTTGCATGTGAAAAAGGAGAGAGGATCTAGAAAAGTGGGAAAGCTAGGAAGATAAATAATAAGTGTCTTCCTCTTCCCAAGTCACAAAAAAACCTGTATATTTTTTAACACTTGAGCTAAACAGAATTGGAATGTCTTCAGATTAATGCCAGTTATACTGAATTTATTGATGGTGCCCTGTTTTTTTCCAATATAGATGCACCACATTAATGTTTTCTCATTTTATTTTTACAATAAGCATGTGTTATTTCCATTCTCAGAAACGCACACACACACACACACATACTGAGTCAGACTTAACACTTTGGTTTCTATCTTACAGAGTTTTCTCAGCATACCCTCTCCTCTCCCCATGTTATTGATGCTTTTTTATGACTATTGTAGTGGAAGAATAGTCAGGGTATTTCTACGACATTTATTCATAGGCATTTAGCCCAATATATCCTGCAAAACCACCTCAACTTTGCTGCAGTAACAAAGAAGCATGGGAGAATCCTTCCCCTGGGTCCTTAGTGTCAGAAGCCCTGGGTTCAAGTTCAGACCTGGCTGCTGCTGAGCTGTGTAACCATGGGAAGGTTGCTTAACTTCCCTGTGCTTTAGGATCCCAGCCTGTAAGGTAAGATCGTGAGTAGTAGAGAAGAAAGCTTAGGGCAATGCCTGGGACATGATGAATGTTCAAAATGGTTTCAATGATCATTGCTACTGTTTTCTTCATTTTACTGATGAGGAAACTGGGGTTTACAAGATATGTAATATGCCCTAACTCACAGAGCTAATCCAGGTCTGATTTCAGAGGTCAAGAGACTTGTCCTCAGCCACGAACAGTCAGCAAGAAATCCAGGGGCAGCCACAGGGCGCCTGATTCATAAATGAGGTGTTTGTTTCACACTCATATACCACAGACACAGAGTGTGGGCCACTGAGCTGAATTTCTACATTCTCTACGTACATCTTATATACTGCCTTCCATTCTATGCTCTGCTCAAGGACCCAAGAGTTGTCGTGTCCAGGAATATACTCACATCAAAGGCTTGACACACAATCTGGGACTTTGTACACAATAAAAGGAGCCCGCCTTTGTCCTGAGTCAAAAGCACTAGGCCAGGCTGCTGGCACGGTGGATGCTGGGCTTGGAGAGGAAAAGGCCTTGCAGGTTGAGAAGAGCCACACACCTGGTCCATTCAAGAACAATAAAAGTCCTCTCTCAGCCTGCCTGACTCGTGATATTGTCCAGGCTGTGTTTCCAGACGAGCCTGCCCTATTTCCACAGGAAAGACCAACAGTTGGGCCCAAGCCCTCTGGTCCCAGACACCCCTTTACAGGGCCCTTTGAGCCCAGAGCCCCAATCTTACACCTCACTTGCTCCAACCAACACCTGCCACTCCTAATATGTTTTCTTGACACTTGCCTCTTTGTTCTTAAACTGAAAAGGATAATGAGAGGAAAAATAAAAACCTTATAAATAACTGGATTTTAATCAATCAAGACTTTTATTGCCTGCCCTCAAGCCTTATAACTAGTTTGAGGTTTTAATTCCTGTTTACAATGGTGTTATATTTTAAAAGTGGTTTGTTTTCACAGGAAAATGTATTATAAACAACTTTCAGATTACCAGGTTAGCCCACTATGGTAGAGTATTCTGTTGTTTTCCAATTATCCAGGGCCTTCTTTCTGTGAGATGACTGTCCTTCCCCACCCCACTGACAGGCTTGCTCAAGTGACTGTTTTTAGTCAATGAGATGCAAGCAGAAGTGATACCTGGCACATCTGAGCACAAACTTTAAGAATCATAGTGTGTTTCTAGCATCACTTTTTTTTCCTCTGCTGCAAATACACCAATGTCCAAGAGAGGGGCTGGCCTCTCCCCTTGGGTCCTGGATAAAGGAGAGATATGCAGCAGACCCACACGCACCTCACAGCCCATATACAACGTAAGCATGAAATCAACTTTTGTTGCTGTCAGTCATTGAGATTTGGGAGTTGTTTGTTACTGCAGCATAACCTTGTGGGTCTTGGCTACCATATTCACGAAAGCCTAGTTATGCCCCATTCAGCTAAAATATTGCATATTTGCAATGAAAACCAGTGGGAATTAATGCTTGAAATAATCACCATAAAAAAGTGGGTTTGTCTTGTTTTGTTTTGTTTTTTAAAGATCAAGGGCAAGAGCCAAGGCATCTTTATAGGACTGATATCATTCTTGTCATTACTTGAATTTTTTTAAATGTTTATTTATTTTTGACATAGAGAGAGAGCATGAGCAGGGAGGGGCAGAGAGAGGAAGACACAGAATCTGAAGCAGGCTCCAGGCTCTGAGATATCAGCACAGAGCCCAATGGCGGGGCTCGAACCCACAAGTCGCGAGATCATGACCTGAGCTGAAGTCAGATGCTTAACCCACTCAGCCACCCTGGGGCCCCTCATTCTTGTCATTATTTAAAATGCAAACTGACCCTGGGCAAGTGCTGATGCATTAAGCTCCCCACAGACTATCGTTTTCCTCCTAACCTTTTTTTTCTTCCTCCAGAGTACATTTGTAAACTAGAGAATACATACTTCTTCTTTTCAGTGCTACATTCAGAGATTGCACTAGCCTCATGATCTGCTCCCTTAAAAGCACCCCGGACAACGGCAATTACAAAGTAAAAGCCAGAGTCAATTCTACATTACATTGGAGACAAATGGCTCTAAGGTTAAAGGTGGACACTCTTGCTAAACATGGCTTTAGATTTTTTTAATTGCTTAGCCGGGTAAATCTACAGCCAAATTAGCTCTCAAATCCACGTATACACTGTTTAAGAATGGAAAAAGAAGGGTGAACAGCAAGCAAGAAGTAGTTATATTCAAGAAAGCTTATCCACTTAAATAAAAAAGGTACATGGTGGTGGTGGTAGTAAAGTGCTAGTGAGGTTGAAAACAGATGGTTCTGGATACAGATTAAATACAGATTTATATACACACACATAACAATACAAAACTAAACGATGTTTATAATTTTATGCATTTTTAAATATAAATGTTACCCAGACATGTCCTGCAGGATTTACTCCCACTCCTCTGCTTTGGGTTTCCTTTTAAATCTGTCTTCGGGATAAAAGGATCCCTTTTTATTTGTTAGACACAGAGTTTGGATTTGCTTAGAGTGTTCTGACAATGGTGTCATCCTGTGCTCACTACAAAGTGTCTGGTTTGAACTGCATAGCTGCCTGGGCAAAGGGGCGTGTGGGCTTGGTCTGACCTGGTGAAGGGAGCCGGAGCCGCCCTGCGCAGCCACCCAGCCCTGCCCAGCTGCACAGACGTCAGGACTCACCAGAGTCTGTGTAAACACGGAAACATCCTCTGTGCTGTTGTCAGAATTAACTTGCACCAACCTCCCGAGTCTAGGGGAATTTATAACCGTAAAAGTTACAGTTCTGTTTCTTGTGCTGCCTGCGTCGTTGGTCACAGCTCTCAGGTCACCAGATGAAAGTGGTTTCGTGGAACCTAAGTGAAGATGAAAACAGGCATTTAAGTATGAAGCATATGAAGGCTGTAACAAAATGATCCTTATAGAGCCCCGAAAATTCTGGAAAACACAGGGGGACTGGACAGCTCTAGCTTGAAATTGTGCTGCGAGGGGCTAGTGATCACGAGGGCATCTTTTTAAGGATGTGATTGTCCACCGGGGCTGTAAATGAAGGAGGAAAACAAAATGAGATGGGCTCCCCGGTCCTCGCCTGGTCCTGCATGGCTTACTGATCTCCATAGATAAAAGGCAATGGCAGTGCGTGTGGCACTGTGTGTGCACGTGGCACTGTGTGTATGTGGCTCAGAGTGCTGGACGGGGAGCTGGCTGTGCACACCGACAAAAGAGGAGACAGCGCCCTCCTCTGGGGGTGTGGGGGGAGAAGTTGGTTCTTGAACAAACAAGACATTTCCAGAGGACCCCAGACCTGTAGGCTACATGGACATTGTGGGGAGGGGGAGCTGTGCAAATGCCAAGGGACCAAGAACCAGGAACACGTGAGTTCGTGTGCTAATGCAACCACACATGGCAACGAAGGCCAGCGAGGCTTGGGGACATTCAGGGTAGGGCAGTGGTTCTCAAATGGTCTGTGGTGAAGGATCAGAGCTTCCCCCCTTCCCGAATCCTCGGTGGATGGAAAGTTTTATAAAATACAATAAAATGTTACAGCAATGTCAGATTGGTATACAAAATTCTAAATACTTCCTATTCTTACCAGTTCACAGACCAGAAGGTGCATGACCAGTTTGGGAGCACAGAGTTGGAGTACATATCCCTTTACTTCATACTGACTGGGGTGGGGGGGGGAATGTCCCCAGCCTTACAGAGTGGCTGGTCCAGAAGAGAGTCTCATAGTCCTCCTGGCCCAGAGTCTCACCTTATCTATTCTGTCTTAGCCCTGCTAAGGGCTTAGCATTATGCTTTGCACAGAGGAGCTCTTAGAGTAAGCACTTTACAAATTGTTTATGAAACAAGTTTATCAGTCACCACCTAATAAGAACTAAGCCTCCTGAATGACACCTGTTTTGGTTTACTTGCCAAGCAGTGTAGCCTTAGAGTGTGAGGGCCACTAATTACACTGTTTAAACCATATCAGGCTCTTAAAAGTGGGACCTAACTAACAAAGGGGGAAGCCAGCCTTGGGTAAGATGGTTAGACGCGCGAGGTTTGTTCTGAAACTTCATTGTGGAGGCTCCCTTTAAAATGCCTAGCAACAAAGGAGCCCCTGGGTGGCTCAGTCGGTTAAGCATCTGACTTTGGCTCACTTCATGATCTTGTGGGTCACAAGTTTGAGCCCCGTGGCAGGGCTCTCTGTTGTCATCACAGAGTCAGCTTCAGATCCTCTGTCCCCTTCTCTCACTGGCCCTCCGCAACTTGTGCTTTCTCTCTCTCTCTCTCTCCAAAACAAACATTTTAAAAAATGCCTAGCAGGGGCGCCCGGGTGGCTTAGTCGGTTAAGCGTCCGACTTTCGCTCAGGTCATGATCTCACGGTTAGTGGGTTCGAGCCCCGCGTCGGGCTCTGCGCTGACTGCCAGCTCAGAGCCTGGAGCCTGTTTCAGTCTGTGACTCCCTCTCTCTCTGACCCTCCCCTACTCATGCTGTCTCTCTCTCTCTCTCTCTCTCTCTCCTAGAAGTAAATAAAAAACATTAAAAAATTTTTTTAAAAAAATAAAAATAAAAAATAAAAAATGCCTAGCAACAAGAACAAAAATAAACAAGTAGAACTACATGAAGCTGAAAAGTGGTCAGCAAAGGAAACCATCACCAAAATGAAAAGGCAACTTATGGAATGGGAGAAAATATCTGTAAATCACATATTTGATAAGGGGTTATCACTCAAAAAATACAAGGACCTCATACAACTCAATAGGAAAAAAAAGCCAAATAGCCCAATTTAAAAATATGCAAGGGACCTAAATATTTCCAAAGAAGACATACAAATGGCCCATAGGTACATGAAAAAGTGCTCAACATCACTAATCATCAGGGAAATGCAAATCAAAACCTCCATGAGGTATCATCTGACCCCTGTTAGGATGCCCATTATCAAAAAGACAAGAAGTAACAAATGCTGGTGAGGATGTGGACAAAAGAAAACCCTCATGTGCTGTTGGAGGGAATGTAGATTAGTGCAGCCACTGTGGAAAACAGTATTGAACTTTCTCCAAATATCAAAAATAGCAATACTATCCAATCCAGCAATCCCACTTTTGGGTATATATCCAAAAGAAACAAAACCACTATCTTAAAGGAAAAAAAAATCAAAGATACAAGTGTATATATATATATATATATATATATATATTATTATTCAGGCTTTAAATAGAATGAAATTCTAGGGGTTCCTGGGTGACTTAGTCAGTTGAGCATTCGACGTCAGCTCAGGTCATGATCTCACAGTTTGTGGGTTCCAGCCTCGTGTTTGGCTCTGTGCTGACAGCTCAGAGCCTGGAGCCTGCTTCAGATTCTGTGTCCTCCTCTCTCTCTGCCCGTCCCCTACTCATGCTCTCTCTCTCTCTCTCTTCTCTCAAAAATAAATAAACATTGAAAAAATGAAAGAGATGGGCATGAAGGAGGGCACTTTGGGGATGAGCACTGAGTGTTATGTAGAAACTAATTTGACAATAAACTATTTGTAAAAAAAAAAAAAAAAAAAAAAAAAAAAAAGAAAAAATGAAAGAGAATGAAATTCTGTCATTTGCAGCCACATGGATGTAGCTGAGGGCATTATGCTAAAGGAAACAAGCCAGAGAGAGAAAGACAAATACTCTGTGTTATCACTTACCTACCAAAAAAATATATATTTAAAAAAAAATAACAGGGGTGCCTGGGTGGCTCAGTCAGTTAAGTGTCCGACTTCAGCTCAGGTCATGATCTCACGGTTCATGGTTTCAAGCCCCATGTCAGGCTCTGTGCTGACAGCTAGCTCAGAGCCTGGAGCCTGCTTCGGATTCTGTGCCTCTCTCTCTCTCTGGCCCTCCCTTGCTCACGCTGTCATTCTCTCTCAGAAAAAAAACTTTTTTTTTAATTAAAAAAAAAAACAGTTGAACTCATTGAATCAGAGAGAGGAAATGTGGTCACCAAGGAATGGAAAAAATAAGAAGAGATTGGTAACTGATACAAACTTTCAGTTATGAAATGAGTAAGATCTGAGGATGTAATGTATGACATAGTGACTAGTTGATAGCAATATATTGTATACTTGAGGTTTGCTAAGACAGTAGAACTTAAATGTTCTTGCCAAAAAAAAAAAAAAGTTAAATATACGAGGTGATGGATCTGTTAATTAACTTGATGGGGGAATAATCCTTTCACAATGTATATGTATATCAAATCGTCATTTTGTATACTTCGGCTATCTCAAAAATTTGTTAAGTATACCTCTCTGTAAGTCTGAAAAACGAAACAAAATAAAACAAAACAAAATGTCTGAGCCCCTAGGCTGGATACCAGGTCCTGGGATTCGGGGCATGAGGCTAGAGTGTCTGTGACTGTCAGCCTCAGGGACACAGTTTGGGCCCAGGACTCCCTTGGCATAATTTTGGCTGTCACCCAAAAATACTCACATGATGCTTATAACTGCCTCCCACATTTCTCTCACTTCTTCGCTACTGAAATTGTTGCAGACACTGCCCTCTTCCAGCTTCTGGAGCTGGGGTCCCAGGATCTGAGGTCGCCAGGGGAGGCCGAGAGGAATTATTCTCTCCCCATGGTCAGTGTTACATGACGTCAAAACTAAGGCCCGTTCTTTGTTACTTGTCAACGAAGGGTTCCCTCATCCTGTAGGGTGGATCATGTGTTTATGTGTGCAGTCTCTGAACACCCAAACTTCTCTATCTTCAGCTATTCTTTGGACCTTTTCCCCACTGTGCCTTCTTTTTATGTATTTTTTCAATTTTTATTTATTTATTTTGAGAGAGAGAGAGAGAGAGAATGTGAGCAGGATAGGGGCAGAAAGAGAGGGAGAGAACCCCAAGCAAGCTCCGCACTGTCAGCACGGTGACAGGGCTCAACCTCACGAATTGGGAGATCATGACCTGAGCCAAAATCAAGAGTTGGACACTTAACCAACTGAGCCAGGGACCCATCCCACTGTGCCTTCTTAATTAACTCCTTCTTATAAAGGACTCTAACTTTTCATTAATTCCCTCACCTCCTTCACCACCTCCTTCCCGTTCACCTTATTCCTTTGGCAGGTAGTGGATGGGAGGGATTTTTTCTTTAAAACAATATCATTTGTCTTAACCTTTTTGGGGAGAGGACCCACCAGAGATGTTCCAGACCAAGAGCACTTTTCTCTCAGCCAGGGTACATCCATCCCTCATCCCCTTGTCCAGCTACCAACCCCAAAGGGTTTCTAGGGTTTAATTCCCATTCAGCAGTCATCCTGGGCATGCTCAGTCAGCAAGACTAGCTGGCTCCATGTTGTAACTGACTGATGAACATCTTTTCTCATCCAGCTCAATTCACAGAAAGCCAAACACCATTTTCCCCCTCACCCCACCTCATTGTTGCTTTTTTTTTTTTAATTTTTAAATGCTTATTCATTTTTGAGACAGAGACAGAGCATGAGCAGGGGAAGGATAGAGAGTGGGAGACACAGAATCCAAAATAGGCTCCAGGCTCTGAGCTGACAGCACAGAGCCCAACACGGGGCTCAAACTCACAAACCATGAGATCATGACCTGAGCCAAAGTCGGTCGCTTAACCAACTGAGCAACCTAGGCACCCCTTCTTTTTTTTGTTTTTAGGGTTTTTTTTAAATGTTTATTCATTTTTGAGAGAGAGGCAGAGCGTTAGCAGTGAAGGGGCAGAGATCACCCCACCTCGTTTTATGTAAGCATTGATATTTTCATTGGTGAACTCCAGGCGCTTAATTTGGGAAGGATTTCTCTAAGGTCCTACCCACCTGTATATTCCATAGAATGACTGTTCTACAAGGAGTGTGGCAATAAAAGGCTTACAACAATATCTGTTTGGCCAACCCTTATCCCACATGCACCTCTTAGAGATTTGAAAAGTAAATCTGCATTTTAAAGATTCTAAGTCTCAGAGTAAAGAAATCTACTTTATCCTTCTTTTAATTTTTTTAAATGTTTTATTTATTTCTGACAGAGAGACAGTGTGAGCAGGGGAGGATCAAAGAGAGAGGGAGACACAGAATCGGAAGCAGGCTCCAGGCTCTGAGCTGTCAGCACAGAGCCTGATGTGGGGCTCGAACTCACGAACCATGAGATCATGACCTGAGCCGAAGTTGGACGCTTAACCGACTGAGTCACCGAAGCGCCCCTATCCTTCTTTTAAATAAAGCATTTCTCAAACATACTTATGTCCTATTGCGTTTGTTTCCCAAAAAACAATTACCTCCATTACAGCCAGTTTCCTGGCTAGGAAGGCTAGGAGGCCTTGCTGATTTCTTCAACAGACATTATCAAGTGTCTTGTATGCATAAGCCCTAAATGAGGGGTAGAGATGTACCAAGGAACAACACAGACACAGTCCTGCCATTCCTTGTGGCTGTCATGATAATCCTAAGAAATCCAGATCTTTTTTTCCTCACTAAGAAGGGCTAAAAAGTGTCAGAGAGGTTAAGCAATTTGCCTAATAGTCAAATGTAGTTCTCATTTACTCCGAAATGAATATTTTTAAAGTTGATACTATATTGTCTATACCATACGACTTTAAGCCCAGTGCTAGACTGATAACTGAATTAGGAAATATGATGAATCGCTCAACAAATCCAACAGATTCTCTTTTCCACTTTCCGAACACATCGTGCAGAACCTCTTCCCTGGTCTTCACCTCTGCAGCCATGCTGTGCCCACTGGTACGCTCACCCCTCTCTGTTGCCATTCACTGAAATGTTACTCATCCTGAAGGGACAGCTCAGGACTTGTTTGGCCAACCAGCTCCCCGTCTGTGGGAAATTTCCCTCCCTTGAACTCATTTCACTCACCCAGTCTATACCACCCACTGGACCTTTAGCAGACGCTTTGCATGGTTAGTGTACTCTTAAGTCTAAGTCCCTTATTTCACCAATTAGCAAGGCTTTAATTTTTTTTCTTGAGGATTGACAGTCTTCTTATAGCTCTTGATGATCTCCCACTAAGTCTTACAATATTCAAATCAGTTTTGCAAGATGAGCTGACTAAAAGGTTTTTATAAATCTCTGCTCCCAGCTCTAGCGACGCACTGTGATTTCCTTCTGCTTTCTTGGCTCCTTCAATTCCCACCTCAAAGGACAGATGGCCCATTGGTGAGATGTGACTCCCTCTGTAGCACGACCAAACCTCAAGGGGGTTGAAGTAACACAGGCTGCTATGAATATCCTTCACTGATCAGCTACTGTGTAAGCTTATATTCTAGACTAGTTTGAAGAACCTCTCAAGGTCAACCCCTCCTCAACACTCTTTGTAAAAGAGCCAAGTACCATTTGGATATGCAGAAAAACTAGGTTCTGAGGTCACAATATGTTCTAACATGTCACAACTAAAGGAAAACAAACACATTCGATAGTAGCATTCAAGGTAAGAAACTGGTTATAAAACTATAAAATTTTCTGGGGGATAAATTTTGCAGGAAGAAATAGAACATGTGTGTATGTTTGTGTGAGTATTTATGTATACATACACATACACAAAATAACAAAATTAAAATATACAAGGAATAGATCTTTTTTTCTTCATTCACATACAAAAAGAGGTCATTTAGAATGGCAGTCCTTCCTACTTTAAAATAACCGAGTTAAAGTTAAAAATGACTTTCAAATTTGGCAGGGCACAGAAGCTACGGTTAACCTTGAAATATTCACCCATTAAGTACTTCTACAAGCATTTTGGCTCACCCTATAAATTCTTATAGGTCTCAAGTCAGGGCCACTTTTTAAGACGGAGTCCACTAGGAAGGCAAAATAGCGTGGCCAACGTCTGCCAGGCTGGTGGTCAAAGTCCAACCGGTATGGGACCAGCGTTAAGTTAAAAAAAATGTTAACTGATGCTGGGTTGCAGGGTTGCAGTACTTCCTTGCTCGAAGGGAGCAAAACACATAAAATTTCTGCATCATCATCGCTGTTACTAAATTGCTGTGCATATTCTCCTGGTTGTGTATAGCAATCCACCAATAATATCACGGAGACAAGATAAAGAGCCTCCCTGAATAGGGCATTCTCAGAGAACTGCTATTCTAAAATGGAGACAGCCCTGGAACACAGGCGTGCACAGAAAGGAGAGAAGCTATCGTGATTCCAGCATAGGATTTGGGGTTGAGAGTTGGCACCCGGTCTTGGGCTTATGATTCCTATTAGTTCTCTGACTTTGAAACTGCTTGAGCACCAGTGGTTTTTTTTTTTCCTTTTTATCAACATTGCATCACGCCAAATAGGGGTGATGCAACTTCCATTTATAGACATTCTTCCATTTAAGTCCTTAAAACAATCCACTATAGTAGATAAAAATGAAAAGCACAATAGAAACACAGGTATTGATAGAATCTGAATGTTCATTCTATAACCAGAATAGATTTCCTGCTATTATGGTTTTATAAAATCTATAGTTCCATAAAAAGGATTAGAATTTCCGTGATATTTTAGGGACTATAGGGCAACTGGAGTCCGACAAGAGCAGCAGTAGCTCACAGCTGACACCTGGAGTCACACTGGAAGAGGAACATGGAGTATCTCCCTTTCCTCTCAGCCAAAGTACTGGCTAGTAGATAAGGGAGGCAGAGGTCACTCAGAGCCTGCTCCCAGCAGGCCTTCTCAAGATGGGGGGTGTCCTGAGGGAAGAGGGGGGGGGCATCTGTCATCAGTCCCCCACACCTTCACACAGCAGCAGAGGCCAACATCCACCAGTGGCTACTGGAGACTCCAGCTGAGCATCACCCTGGGGGGAGGGGGGTTGGTCATCAGAACCACGCCCACACCAGATCCCAGTGGGCCCCCACCACTCGGTACATTAAGATAGGAAAAACACCAAGAACAACTGGACCAAGTGACCCGTCGCGTCCATCCCAACGCTTAAATCTGGGACTCGGCACTTGTCATTTCCACACTCACCCAAGTGGAGGTTTTATCAGACATGACAGCCACCTAATGGAAATGTACATGAGACTCCATCTTCCTTCCTACTGGTCAGGAGCTGGAGCTGGAAACAAGTCACATTCTGGGGCTGGGGGCTGGGGGGAGGGCATGGAAACCAAGAATAGCAGACCTTGGGTGCTACCTAGGAGGAAGCTTGGAAAAAGGAGCCGCTCCTATTGAGATGTAAGGATAATGCACAAGATCCAGTGCAGGGTTCTTAGACACAGCGAGGCCAGGTCAGGATGAACCCCAAGGGGATTGAAGTAACACGGTCTGTTATGCCTCTACACAGGGCACACTGGAAAGGGAAAGGAGCCTGTTACACGGGGCTGAGCCCAAATATTAAACAGACGGCTATGAAAATGATATGTTTTGCATCATTCCACCAAAGGGACAAGGGAATTTGGTCCACTTTCATATATTTTCCTTGCTAAACGAATACTCAGTAAAACAGGCACCAGAAACACAAAACTTCCTAAGGTGTGGTGGTTGTAACTCCCCTGTAGGCTAACACGACTGTCATCAATTCCTAAACCAGAGTTTAACCAGAATAGACAAAGAGTATTTAGTCCTTTGTGGCAACCAGATTCACTCTGATTTCAGAACTTTTTTTTTCTTTGGTAAATTACAACATTTTTAAGATTCCGAGTTTGCTTATTTTTAAAAAAATTTTAATGTTTTATTTCTGAGAGAGAGAGAGCAAGCAGGCGAGGGTCAGAGAGAGAGAGAGGGAGACACAGAATCCGAAACAGGCTCCAGGCTCTGAGCTAGCCGTGAGCACAGAGCCCAATGTGGGGCTCGAACCCACGAACCCTGAGATCGTGACCTGAGCAGAAGTCAGACGCTCAACCAGATGAGCCACCCAGGCGCCCCCCTAGTTTACTTATTTTTAAACACTGAGTGCCACCCGAATTGCCTTGGAAAAAAAAGTTGATAAAACCATCACAGTTATTCCCAGAGAAAAATTATGGGACGTAAAAACGGTTTTGGGGTCAAAGAATCTGGGTTAACGCATCTTTAACTGAATTTTAATAAGGTTTCTTTTCATGAGCTCAAATGCTTAAGGAGACTACACATTTTAGTATTTCTCCCCCAAACTGTTTTTGTTAAAGTTACTGTGATTTCTCTCTAGGTCTCCCTTAGAAGTACGTGAGCTTTATCCATCATTTATTGGTTGCAAGGCCAAATTATATTGTGTCTGTAAGCCACAAATCATGCCAACACAAATATATCACCTACCTCACATGATGTAAGGACTAGAAGACTAGAACAGTGCCCAGCCCCAGGGATCTCAATCCCGGCTGTACTTCAGAACCACCTGGAACTTAAAACAGAATGATGGCCAGGTCATATTGCAGAGGCTCCCATACAACTGGTATACGGTAAGGCCCAGACACTGCTATTTTTTTTTTTTAATTTTTTTCTTAATGTTTTATTACTTATTTTTGAGAGAGAGATAGAGACAGAGACAGGGTGTGAGCGGGAGAGGGGCAGAGAGAGAGGAAGACACAGAATCCAAAGCAGTTCCAGGTTCTGAGCCATCAGCACAGTCTGACGTGGGGGCTAGAACTCCCAAGCTGTGAGATCATGACCTGAGCTGAAGTCGAACCCTTAACTGACTGAGCCACCCAGATGCCCCCAGGCACTGCTATTTTTAAAAGCTTCCTGGTTGAGAACAACCCGCTAGAGTGACTATAGAATAACTGTAATTAATAAAATGATTAATATCTTTCTCCATCTATGTTTTACTGGTAACACATATCAAGTAAACAAGTCACTGGGCACTTTTTCTTTTTTAACCTGTAATATAAATTTTACTGGTTTCTGTTTGGTCCCCCTCAGTGCATTCATTTTAAATAACAAGATTAAATATTTGCTCTTCTTTTTTATTACCCTACCATTGGGTAAATCTTTCTCCTATCCCCGAGATAAGGATATTGAGCCAGAGACACTCACTTTGATTTTTCCATCTCAGCCAAACTGAGATTCTTGGCAAACAGCCATCTAGAGGCTTCAGGGCCCTGAAGCCAGCACTCAGTGGAATCCCTCACAGCCCTCTGATTCATAGGGTTTTTATATTTAGAAAAAGAAAATCCAAGATCTAGCACCTGGCTCTCCTTACTTCGTCAAGGACCGTGTGGAGAGAGTAGGGAAAAAGTGCATGGGGGTCATGGCTGCTTCAGGGATGCCAGTCTCCCATTGCCCTTCACCAGCATACCCTCTCTGAGGAAGAGGAGAGGGGAGAGAGAGAAGGGGTGGACAGAGCCAGCCTTGCTACTGCTGAATTCCTGCAAAGAGAAAATTCTTCTTTCTGGGAATTTATAACTGGTGTTGGTATCATTTGATGGCCAATGATGATAGTTTTTACCTTGCAGGTGGAACTTTCTAAATAAATGGAAAATCCCTTAACCCCAAACGCACTCAAGTGAAAATCTTACCTGGAAAGATGCTCAGTCCTCGGTTTACTTCTATGCTAAGGGTCAGGGCTCGAGCGGTGATGCTAAATATTTGCCTTGGTGCAAAGTTCAAACCATCAGTAACCTGAAAGTTAAAGCCTCCTGACATGGCTCCTTGAAAAGAAGAATTATGCTCTGGTCACTTTGGTTATTCTGCAAAAGCCACCCACTTTCACCCTGTCTCTCACCTGATCCCGCTGCAAAGCACCCCCTATCAACTGAAGAATGTGCTCATAGAGTCACTGAGCTCAGCGAACCAAATATTGCCAAAACGTGAAGTTAAAAGACCATGAACAAAGGTCTAAAATGCATATTTCCCCCTCCCAGCCATGACCTAATAAAAGAAAGCAAAGATGTTACTGCCAAGAAATTTTTTTAAAAATTCTTTTTAAACATATTCATCCCCTGCATGTTATTATTTTGGAATCAGTTTACACCAGCAAAAGTAATGCCTACATGCTGTGCACACATACACGCACACACACACACACACACGAGCAGTTTCTGAAATACTGATAATGCTTACTTAATCATACTGAAAATCAAAACTAAGGGGAAGCAAATAACACTTAGCCCTTCCCCCCAAATAATTTCTAATTATTCACTGATCTCAAACTAGCTGTTTTCTGCTAAGGAGGCAAAGAGTAGGGAAAGGTGATCCCGGCCGGTTTTTGTTATATTCCTGCAAGAGGAGAAGCTTACTCCCAAGCTTCTGTCTAGAGATTAGTGCTATCAATAAAGTTATAAATTAACTGATGTATGTTACAGAAATTGAGACAGGCCTCCTAGCGATCCCGTTCCCAGGAGCGCGTTACCAGTCTGACTCACAAAGCACCAGGCAACTTCACAATGTAGACAGCCTGATGTTCTCATTCCCATCACCCTTTGAAAATGTTCAGCCAGCAGTAAATCTGGAGGCCCATGGGTCTTTGCATCATGTAATGGGTAGAAATGTCCTCTTTGTTGCGCCCAGGCACATGTGGCAAGGAACAAAGAAGGCAGGGTCAGACTCTGCAGATACGTACAAGTACTCCCTTAATAACACAATTTAATAAAGGGCTGGTCGATGGCCTGATGGCCTCTAGAGGTTCTGTTATCTATGCAAACCCAGAATTCTGAGTCCTCACAAAAGAAGGTTACAGGCTTTTAAAAAGTTCCCAGTACACTCAAGAGTCATCGTTTTAAAGAGAGAGAGAGAGAATGAAAATTCTGAGTCTGCCTAATTTAGAACAGGGACCCATGATCAAATTTTGTTTGTTTGCTGGCTGGCTTGTGTTTACTGGAAACAGCACTTCGAGAGTTGTATTTAATGAAACATGAAATTAGGGAGAGACTGTTTTCTGCCACGAGGCACTTTCGACATTTCACGAATCCAGAAACAAAGTGGGAATGGAATCAAAAGGAATTCTATCAAAATGAATACTAGAATGGTAGATTGGGAATGCCCTAACCATCACACTAACTATGAGCAAAGAGAGGAAAGGACAGAAACATGAGAGTAGGGGTGACCTATCCATCTCAGATCTTTCTGACCATATTTTACGAAGGGCAGCTTGAAATCACTTAGCCTCCCACATCTTGCCTTTAACAACCTACTTAGGTTGTTATGTGAAAAATGAATTAGGTTAATGGCAGAGCACTTTGCAAATATAAATGCTAAGAGGGACTAATTAAACCTAAGCCTGTGTGTGGGGTCGATGATGGACAGATGTAGTGAGGGGGACCAGCTGGTCTTAGCAACAGCCTCTTCTGCAGCTGGGCTCCAGCCACTCGGAGGGCCATTACTGCCTCTACAGCCATTTAGAAGATGTAATGGATTGCCTTTCAAAGAGCTTGCCTTTCACTCTCCTTCCTGCTTTTTTTAGGAGAAATTATTTTCTCTACCGGCCAAAAGTGAACATGGACCTGGTAGTTGAAAAATAAATGAATCCAGAGCGCTAATTTTCATGTTAGTCTTTCGCTGCAAATAATAACTCTAGTTCTTTAACTTCCTCTGTCCTTCCGTGGGCAGCGGAGAGTAGAGAGAGCCCAGCTTTACCGTCCAATAAACTTATATCTTTCTGAACTTCGGTTTCTTCATCTCTAAAATGGGGTCACTGCCCCGCATGGCTCAGAGAACTTCAGAATAAATGAAGTGGGCTCATGTGACTACATTTCCTGAATTGACAGCAAGGGCCGGAGAGTCAATGATTCCTTTTCATTGCAAACTGCATAGTTGTAGGAATCTGAAACTTCCCTTGGGGGAATCTCTAGAGCAGTTCTCCGCATTTTGAAAATACTGCAATCTTTTCAAAAAAATAAAAACATTTCTAGGCCCTCATCTAATAATACTCGGATTTTTGGTATCTAATAATCAAAACCATACATCATTGGTGGAAACATTCTATTGATTCAGTGCCTCTTTAAATGAATTATATTTTATTAATCAGCACATCTGCACACATTTAAAAAACGAGAACATGCATACGTGGAAAAGATCATCCAGTCTAGGAACAATGCTCTGGTACAGATGTGGTAGATTTAGTATCTTGTTGCCATACAATTGACCCCAGAGGTCCCCAGGCTCCAGGTTTGGAGCTGCTAGTTGAGAGCATTCACGTAAAAATTTTCAGATTATTTGGAGATGCTCTGCATTAACTGCAAAGATAATTAGGAAATTACTATATTTGAATTTAGAAGATTTTTTTAACTTTATTTTCTTTACTCTGTTTTCAAAGAAGTTAATAAAAATGGCTGACTAGATGTGACTGCTGGCTTTCCCATCATGCTCCCTGGCTCATATGCTTTCCCAGTCGCTCCTGCAGGCTGGGAATGGGCTCCTTCCCCCGCTCTTTCCAGTGACAAAGGCAGCCTGGAAACAAAGCCAGACTGGATCACCCCTTCCACAGATTTACAGCGACTGTTTGGCTTATTGATTAACAGAAGGAAGAAAAAAAGCCTTTTAATGTCAGAGTCTTTTAGAATTACAGTTGTAGTCATTCATTAGTTTCTTCATGTGTTCATCTATTTAATGTTTGTTTTGTTCACTAATGTATCTTTAACATAAGGACCATTATCTGGCACATAATAGGTATTCAATATAATTTCATTCTTTCAGCAAATGTTTATTGAAAAACAAAAACTACTTGTTCTAGTCGCCGTTTGAGGTGCTGAGGATTCCATAGTGGAGAAGACAAACACCCCGCTCTTACAGCACTTGTACTCTAGTGCAGAAGACAGACAACAAACAAATAAATAAAGCAGTCTATACGTCCATGCCAGGAAGTCAGTAAGGGATGGAGAATGACAGAGAAGAGATGGGTGGTCAGGAAAAGGTTCTCTGAGAGCATTACATGTGAGCATCAACCTTACATGACCATGTGAGTAAGCTATGTGTGAGTTCTAGGTGCTCTTTAATGTTTGCTATCATTAGCCTTACAGAAACGTGCCACTTAAAAAAAATTACAGAGCCCAGAGGGTTTTTAGATGGCTTGTGGTTTTCAGTCAGCAATGACTAGGTTTAACTATCATGTTAACCTCCGATGGAAACATATTTTAATTTCACATTGCTTTTCTCTACGACATACCTGTGTGTATGAACACTAGCTGGCCCTTGTTGATTTGAGCCTGGGTGAAGTTCTGGATGCTTTGGCCCGGAAAGGACTTGAGAGCCAAATGCCCGTTGCTGGGTGGAGTGATCCAGTAGATAAGGTCCTGTGGGGAAGAGTCCTTGTCTTCAGCACAGAGGTCACCACTAGTAATCTCAGTGACAGAATTCACCCATACCTTAAAAAGAAGAGAAGCACAGATCTTGGCAAAGGTCAGTTCCAATCACATCCATAAGTAAAGTAGATAGCTATGCTACTCTGGCTTTTTGCACAGATTTAAAAACTAAAGCAATTCAGGGGTGCCTGGGTGGCTCAGTCAATTAAGCGTCCAACTTTGGCTGAGGTCATGATCTTGCAGTTCATGAGTTGGAGCCCCACATCGGGCTCTGTGCTGACAGATTGGAGCCTGGAGCCTGCTTTGGATTCTGTGTCTCCCTCTCTCTCTGGCTCTCCCCAACTCATGCTCTGTCTCTCTCAAATATAAACATTAAAAAAACCCAAAAAACTAAAGCAATTCACTACAGCTCTTAAACTATGCGGATTCTTAATTCAAAAACAGATATATAATTAAATACCTGATGAAATACAGAACATGTTGTAGTGTTTGTTTAATTCATGAGGTTTATGAAGTCCCAATTATAGAACTGTATTTGTAATTATTTATTCAAAATTAATGCTAAGTATGGGAGTATATGGCTAAGATTCTACATGGAATCTTAGAAAATCCTAGAACCTACCTCATAAGGTTGATTTAAGGATTTCTATTCATTATTTTAAGAAGCGAATGATTTTACCAGGTTTTAAATGTTTGAGGGAAAACACGCATTGCACATTGAAAAAAATTTCCTTTATCTTACCTGTCTTGCAGGTAAACACATACCTGGTGCCTATGGCCTTGCAATGTTTGCTGTGATGGTAGCTCATCTACCATTATGTCTGAGCAATAGTCTCTATTTTCCAATTACATTTAAAATATATTTACCTTGCCTAAATACCTTAGTTCCCCAATTCATCATTAATTAAGCATCTACCATGTTCCAGGCAATATTCTGGGTGCTTGGAATCCATCAGTGAATGCAACAGAGTCCTGTTATCATGGAGCCTACATCCCAGCAGGAGGAGATGAAGGGAAACAGGGAAAAAACAGCAGGCATAATAAAGAAATGAACCTTGTGGTCTGTTAGAAGTTCACTGCACTATGAAAAAAAAAAGGGAAATAGAGCAAAATGAGGGGCTCAGAAGTGGGAGAATGTTAAATAGGAGGCTCATTTGAGAAAAACTGGAAGGAAGTGAAGGAGGAACCATGTGGGTATCTGGGGAAAGAGCATCCAGGCAGAGGGAACAGCCCTAAGGTGGGAGTAAGCTTCTTCTGTTTGAGGAAGAGCAAGGAGGTCAGTATGGCAGGAACAAAACAAGTGAGATGAAGAAGACAAGAAGATGAGTCAAGAATGTAGTGAAAGGTCAAATGCTGCAGGGTCTTGACAGCCCCTGTAAGAACTTTGGTTTTTGCTTGGGTGCAATGGGGAATCATCGTAGGGCTTTAGGTGAGGAGTAACCGGGTCTTAACAGAACCCTTGTGGCTTCTGTGTCAACAAGAGACCATGAGAAGGCAGGGATAGAAGCTGGGAGACCAGTTAGGAGGTGACTGTAATAATCCAGAGAGAGATGAGAGAAGAGAGTGGCGGAAGTTGTTGAGGTGGTAAGAAGTGGTCCAACTCTGGGTGCCATGTTGAAGGTGAAGCCAGCAGCGTTCCTGATGAATCAGATGTGGCGAGGTGTGGAAGAAGGAAAGATGGAAGAATGACTCCATGGCTTGGGCCTCAAAACCTAGAAGGACAGAATTACCATATACTGGAATGAGGAGATCTGCAGGTAGAGTGAATTTGGGAAGTAAGATCAGGAGTTTAGTTGTGAACATGTTGAATTGAAAATATATATTTAGACATCGAATCACGTTGGATGGAATGAGGCTGTCTTGAGTTTCTATAATCACCCAGTCACATGGTATTTCACTAACACTAAAAATGGGTGGCATTATCGCTAACTAAATTTTCACATTTCTATCTGTATTTATAAATGTCTTCCCTATAGAAACACTATGCATATTTTCAACCTTATGTCATTCTTTGCTCCCTAACTGGAGCCTTATCATCGGCTATGCTTGTTACCCACTTCTTTAAAAATTCAATCCTAAGGGATTTAAAAGATATCTCTCAGGTCTAAGGGGCTGTTTTCCTTAGTAGCATAGGGAGTTGATGAAATGTCTTAATTCATTCCCACTCATGTTCTAATAACTATTTAAACAGAATTTGAGAAAGGAATATCAGAAAATATGATTCTTACATTTTCATATGAGGCATGATATGCCATTTCAGCTCTTTAATCTTAGGAACATTTCTTAATTTCCCTGTGCTTTAATTGCCTCATTAGCAAGCTAGGAATGATAGAATCATTATGTATAATGAGTGATTTGAGTTATGTAAAGTGCTTAGAACAAGCTTCACCTGGCACATAGTAAGAATTCAATATATATTAGCTTTATGTTATCCATCTTCTTCGTCAGAGTTGGTTCTGAAGACAGAATAAGGTGTTGTTTTTTTTTAACATTACTTAAAAGTTATTGGCACTATCATGATTACCATCACTGGAGCCCTTCTATAACATGTACTTCAGGTTTTCTTTAATTCCACAGCGTCTCTCCATAATTTGGGGTGCATAGCTCATGTTTCATGATTGTATTGTCCATGGATGCTCTTATATCTTGGCTTTTGGAATATGCCCACTGAGGATTTTTTCAGCTCTAAACTCTAAGGACATCAGTTTTTTAATTGCTATCAGGAATGCTAATCATCCTAATGTTCAAATGATAAAGTTCTCGTCTTCTGTTAATCATGGAAAGGCTACAGTGTCTATAAAATATACAATTGGGCTATTTAACAAAATTCCAAGGCCACCAATTCTACTTTTTCACTTTTGGCATTTTAAAATCCATCCATGTGTCTTATTCTCCTTTCTTTAGGAACATAAGCTGATTTGGAAATGCACTGCCATTCTCTTCCTGTGACTCGTAGATACTCATTTTTTCCAGCATGGTGCATACAAAACCTGGATGAAGCATGTTTTCCATGGTGGCTACTCTCCTGTGCAATTCTGCTTCGGCCCCCTCTTGCCTCTGAAATATACCAACTTTCAAAACAAGTGGAAACCTGTCACTCAAAGCAAGAGCTGCTAACTTCAGGTCTTCATTTCCACTCAAAACAAATTTAGTTCAATCTACAGCCCCACTGCTCTGGGTCAGGCTTGATTTAGTGCCTAGTCATCGGTAAAACAGTCATATTTAAAAACAAAAATGTAACACATTTTTGGAGTACATTTTTTAAAATTCACCTTTAAATTAAACAGAAGGCAGTGGAATTTAGAAACCTAATTACAATCCAGTATAATCCTAATTATGATCCTAATATTTTAAAACCCAGACCTTTGTTTTGAGCTTCATGTGATGGATATGAAATGTTTATAAAGTTACTATCCCACTATCTGACCCTTCTAGGCCTTCAGTCAAAATCTCAGGGTTTGCTGCCTTAATTCTTCCACTGTCCCAAGCTCTCAAAGCTTTTTTTTTCTTTTTTTTTTTTTTTTTTTGTAATGACAAGTACTTATCAGAAACAAGCAAGTGGTTCTATTTTGGGTATAAAAGACAACAACAAAACCAAATGTACAGTATTGAAAGCCAAAGTTGAAAACCAGGAAAATGAAGCCCCCTTGTGGACATGGATACATTTGATCAGGTATACACAAAAATTACTGGTCATACTTGAATACAAAAATACTCAGTAGAATATATTTCATCATAAAATGCAAAGGATTCACCTGGGTTGGTCTAACTCCACATCCTAACTCCAGTGTGCCATGACAGAAATGATTTCCTGCACCACTGAATGGAAGTCCAACTAGCCACAAGTTCTATGGTTTAATGAAATGTTGTTTAAAGTACTTCAGGAGAAAGAAGTATACTTGGAATGTTAGGACAGAATGGTTAACATTCAGATTTCTGTCTCTGAACTCTCCAGAGTCTGAGATGCTATCAGTGAGGATCTCCCCGATGTCCCCACTTCCTTCTCCCACGTAGACCGCAGATAATCCTTCTTGCCACTTTTCCAAGCTCAGATGACTAGTAAGGAAAGTAAGTGGTCATGTGGTAATCTGAAGGTCTCGAGAAGATTCTGTTTGAAGAGTCAAAGACAGCATAGAATCTCAAGACTATGATGGCTAATATTATGTGTCCAATTGACAAGGTCACGGAGTGCCCAGATATTTGGTTAAATGTTATTCTGGGTGTTTCTATGAGAATGTTTTTTGATGAGATTGACATTTACATCAATTGACTGAGTAGAGCAGATAACGCTCTCTCACATAGGTGAGCCTCATACAATCCGTTGAAGGTCCAAGCAGAATAAAAAGACTGATCCTCCTGGGAGTAAAGAGAATTCTTCTCTGCCTGATTGCCTTCGAATTGGGACATTGGTTTTTCTTGATGACCTTCATATGGGAACAATACCATTGGCTCTCCTCGGTCTCCAGCTTGATGACTCACCGTACAGATCTTGGAACTTGCCCACCTCCATAATCATGTAAGCCAATTCCTTATAATAAATATATAATAATATAATTCCCTATAATATATGTATCTATTATATATGTATATATTATGCATATATATTATGTATATATATAATTTCTTATAATAAATATACATATATAATATATGTATCTTTATATACACACACACACACACACACGCACACATACCAACCCACAACTCAATTGTGGTTTTGCTGTCAAGGAAGATGAGGCTCAGAGAAATTTTGCTTAAGTTGAGCAAGTTATGAACCTTGAACTCTGTTCTCCTAACTTTAATCCAGAAATTTCAAGGCAGAGAATGAGATTCAAATTGGACAAATAAATGAAGAAATTCAGAAAGAGCCAGTGTCAAATGACCACATCCATTGAAACTGGGAAGTTGCACCTTTCCTGGACTGGACTCAGGCTATCTAGGGAAGAAGGTAAGAAGAAAGGAAATGGTCCTCGCCCCCAGCTACTCTTCCTTTTTTCTTGAAAGAAACCCTCTGGTATTGAGGATGGGGAGAAATGGTCTGGGCAAACAGCCTGAGCAAGCTCAAGGTTCATGGCAGAGACTGTATTTCCCAAATTTAAAGGGAAGACAGAGAAAAACTCTAGTGGACACATTTCTCCTCTCACAATTTAATGTTCTGAACATCTTAAATGGACAGGAATATTTCAGTGTAATAAAGCTATCACTAAGTTGATGGTACATCTTATAACAGACGGCAGAACTGCAAGCCAAACCCATGAAAAGGCTTCAATTCCTTTTCATAAGGAAGCTAGCAGGTCACTACTTTATTCCTTGGTCTTCCTGTCCTCAGCCAACTCCAGCTCGTCTCCCATATCTGTCTGGATGTAGACCACTCCCCTGGATCTTCCTCATCCTGCAGTTGCAAAACTGCAGAATGCCCACACAGCAAAATGCCCAAATCCTCTGACGAGGTTCCTGGGTAAACACTTTTGTGTCAATACAACTGCTGCAGACCTACCCCGTAAAGTCTGCTTTGGTAGAAGCAAGAGGCACAACAGCTTCGGGGCTTTCTTCTTACTCATAAAGATAGCCTTGATCACATGGATGCACTGAGAGAACTTGAGACAGTCATGGGTAGCGGGCAAAGCGGTAGAGCATGATGGTGAGATAGTCAGACTTTCCACACCTTCCCTTGGTGCCGCTCTGGGCCTCAGTGCCCCCATTAGAATGAGGACATTCATAACAGCAGTTGCTTCGTATGGTTGTGAAAATGATACCACTTTTGGAAGATGTCTGGTACTGTACTCCATAAGCACACAACAAATGTAAGCTTTTATAACTGTGCTTAATCATCATCGACACCCATGATCCCTCACTCTAGCCGACAACCTACTTCTCAGATCGCTTTGCTGAGAACAAATTCAGTAGATACTAATACAACAAGAATCTGTGCAGACAGAGGTAGACTTACAAATGTGACCAGCTAGAACGTTTCCCAGGCTGTTTGAACAACGACTGTGAAGTAAACTCAAAATTAAGTAACAAGATCCAAGGGCATAAACACCGTTAGTCTTTAACTTAAAATGTAGAGGCTGAATAATGAGCCAAACTGTAAAATAAGATCACTAAAAAGTCTATTCCTAGATCCAACTATTTCAGGCAAATAAAAACAGATTTTAAAAAACCCCAGGGGCACCTGGGTAGCTCAGTCGGTTAAGCGTCCAACTTAAGCTCAGGTCATGATCTCATGGGGTTCGTGGGTTCGAGCCCCACATCAGGTTCTGTGCTGACAGTTCAGAGCCTGAAGTCTGTTTCAGATTCTGTGTCTCCTTCTCTCTCTGCCCCTCCCCCACTCATGTTCTGTCTCTCTCTGTCTCAAAAATAAACTTAAAATTTTTTTAAAATAAATAAATAAATTTTTAAAAAACCAGAATGTTTACTGGTTTAATAAAGTAAAGTAAAATGTTCTAGTTAGATTAGCCCCTGGTGAGCTCTACTAATGTCTACCTCTTCCGCATCTCTTTTGACTACAGCTTCCTTTGGAGTTCTAAAGTATCTAGTATTTTTTTTTTAATGTTTATTTATTTTTGAGAGAGAGAGAATGACAGAGACAGAGAGAGAGAGAGAGAGAGATACAAATCTGAAGTAGGCTCCAGACTCTGAGCTGTCCGCACAGAACCCAATGCAGGGCTCAAACCCACAAACCATGAGATCATGACCTGCACCAAAGTCAGATGCTTAACCGACTGAGTCACCCAGGAACCCCTAAAGTATCTATTATTAACTACTCTCACAAGTGGTATAAACAAAGCTGAAATAGTCAAATACGTATTTTGGAAGATTTGTCTCAGACGAATTTCAAAGTGAATACCCTCAGATTCCCATATCTGGGCATATCTGATGAATGAATCCCCAGGGGCTTCAAGATGCGAAGGGCTGAGGATTCTTCCAGAAATGCAGCTGTACCAAAGAAAGAAAAAGCTGCAACAAAAGCCCAGTCTCTGAAATGTGGGTCAGTGTTGGGGAAATTGACAGTTTATATTTTCATTTACTCATCCCTTCAACAAATATTTCTTGTTTACAGGTGTTAGTCATTGCTGGAGAGCATGAAAAGAGACATGAACAAGCCATCAGGTTCCCATGCTGTTACTCTGTCCTTAGTCTGTCATTCAGCTGTCATGCAATTTCCTCATCCGTCCAGTGAGGAAAAGGGTAGCACATCTCAGTGAGCTGTAAACTCTTAGAGTGTTACCTGGCACATAATAATGGCTAACAATTAATTTTTGAGCCCTTACTACTACAATAGCTGTAATTATTCTCCAAGTCAGACTAGCAAATTCATGCCCAAGTTTTTAGAAGGAGGGACAGTAAGAACCAGTGATTTAAGACCAAGAAAATCTGCTGAATGAAAGTTTTGGGATACTTGAGTGTAAACTGGCACAAAAGGGTTCACTAGCATTGACATCGGTAGTGCTGGGGTGCCAGGAAATGGTGCCCTAAGAGCCAGAAGGACTTCTATGCATCCAACCCTTTGTATGGCCAATAGAAGCCACAACGGCACACATGGCTTCAGGTTTCAGATCAGGAGAGGAGCCAAGTGGTGGACACCATGTGACAGCCAAAACATGTTTATCTTCAAAAGCACCCCAGAGGATTCTCAGAAAAAGTGAAGAGCAATGGAAGCTCCCAGAAATAGCAAAATACTGTCACATGACTGTACAGTGTGTGTGTGTGTGTGTGTGTGCTTTAATTCTAATACTGGTACAGCCTTGGAGTTTTTCAGTAATAATCACTACCATTTATTGGGTCCTGACCACATGCCAGGTACTATGGGAGAGTTTTACATCATTTTATCATTTACTCCTCCCAACTCTGCCTCCATTTCCCACCACCTCGATAAGAGCAAAATGAAGGGCTAAATAATTTGTCATACATTTAATTCTAGGGAGTTGATTCTCACCTTCCCACCCTAACTAGAAAAGGCTATGCCTTGGGGAATACAGTGAGAATGACACCCAGTCAAGAAATGCAATATGACAGTATTTCATTGATATTCATCGTCTCTCAACAGTTTATCCAACAGGATGTCCTGGTAACAGCTAAAATTTATTTAAAACCAGTAGGAATATGTTAATTATATATACACTGTCATATGTCTTACTATTTTTTAAAATGTTTATTTATTTTTGAGACAGACACAGAGACAGAGTGTGAGTGAGGAGGGGCAGAGAGAGAGGGAGACACAGAATCCAAAGCAAGCTCCAGGCTCTGAGCTGTCAGCAAAGAGCCTGATGTGGGACTCGAACCTACAAACCATGAGATCATCACTTGAGCCAGAGTTGGTCACTTAACCAACTGAGGCACCCAGGTGCCCCATCATACACCTTATTATTTAACATTAGAAATAATACAAAAGAGGATCAAATTGGTAGTGCTAATATTACTATGATAAAAAGCACGGAGCACTTACCTGAAGGATTTTATTGGCTGTTATTATTGGAGCTTCATCATTTACTGATTCCACAGTTACAAAAAGAGTTTGGGGCAAACTCTGTTTTCCAAGCTCTGAGATATTTGCAAAGATGGTGAAATTATCAAGAAGCTCCTCACTATCATCATGCACATAGTAAATCAATTCATTTTCCACCTATAACCATCAATGAAAAAATCACCAATTTACTGAAATGTGATTTAAAAACAGGAACAAATTGCTATAATCCTAATTTTTATGTCTCTCTGAAACAAAGAAGCATGTGTTCATCCTGTGAAGTTTGATTCCTATAATCAGAGTGGAAATTTGGACGGATGGGATAGTTTTTATGAGGTGATGCCACATCCTAGAAGTAAGTTTAAGGAGGAATGGAGTGATGCAGCAACATGGGGTAGTAAAGAGAATTCTAGACTAGTAATCAGGACGCCTGAGTTCAAAGGCTGTTTCTCCCAACAAAATGTGTTGTGGGTAAGTGATATAATTCAGCTGCTCTTCCAATGGAATGACACCCATTAAAATTCAGACTCTACTTGCTTATTTACAGTGTTTAATGTTTGAAGTGGTGGAATACTTTGTCAGACAATTCAGAATGTTGGGTTCAGGCTCCGAAGCTTCTATCCACTTGTTTGGTCATCTGTTGCTTGGAGACCTCTGGACGAGGGCAACTATTAAGTTTCCCCAAACTTATCTTTCCTGAACTAAGAATGCGTTATTCCTTTAACTGTGCTTCATATGAGAGACTACATGCTACCTCCTAATCCTGTTCCTCCTCCAGAACACAATCCTTTTTGATGCATCTCTTAAGAGACACTACCCATAACTAGCTACCATACATCTCCTGTGGACAGAAGATAATGAAATACATCAAAACCGAATTTTCTATCAAGGCAGATTTCCCTTACTGTAATAACACAAACGAAAACATTTACCTGTGTCCCTGTTAGGGTTCATCTTTCTAATTTTCATTCTGAAATGGTCATCAAATGAATTAATGTTCGCTCTTGGATTTGTAATAACCACAAATTTGATCAGAATGCCTTTCATGTCTTTAGTGCTCTGATAGAAAATACTGAGGAGCACAGGATCATAATTAGAGACAAGAAAGTCTTAAAGCTAGAAGGGAACTTAGCTTCAGTGAGTCTGTGACCCTAACATACAAAGGCAGAGAACTTCCAAAGCCCAGCAGGAGTAGCTGAACTTCTGAAAAAGTCTCTGAGGTTGTGATTGTTTTGATAAAATACTGCCAAAGAATTTGACAGTTCAACTTTGGCTGTTCCTATGGTGCACTTCCTGTGAGCAAATACTTTTGATCTCTTAGAGGTGTTTCTGATGAGTTGAAAAGTTCGTGAAGAGTCTCAAGGGAAAATTCTGGCCACTTGTACATAGGTGCTATGAGAATTTCTTTGGAGTTCTGTGAGCAGAAGAATTCCAGAACATGGGTCTGACTACAAGTTCTGAAACATGCTGGTTTAAGCTATTTGCAAGTAAACACGGAAGATGGCATTAATCAGAATGTGAGAGAATTTGTACCTAACATGCTTTAGGAACATAGCATTTAAATATAATACAGTATCTTTCCAGGAGAAATACATTACTTCTTCAATGGAGTGGTACTTCCCCAAATTACGTGCCATTAATCTAAAGGCAAAGAGAAGATTTGGTGGGGATATGTCTATTCCTAGATGTCTAACACTAGAAAAATATCAGTTCACCTGAAATTAAAAGATATAACAAACTTACAGAAAAACTTAAAAGGTTGAAAAGTATTCAGTCTCCTGTCATCAGACATGTTTGGAGCATACTGTGTCATGCCTCTGATCACTTCCCTCTCCCTCCTTGCTCCCCATGTCACTCAGGGTTAAAGAAGTAGAAGGCCCTCCCATGCTTGACCTCCCTAACCTCATCTACAGTTCTCCCTCCAAGCATGCAGTCCAGTTGCACTAAACCCTTTCCTGCTCTCCACACAGCTGTTCACCTGATTTTTCCTCTTCCTGAATGTTCTTCTTTCATGTCTACCCAGCTCACTCATCCATCACCTCCAGGTGTCTGCTCAGATGCTGCCTTCTCAATGGGGCCTCCCATGACCATTGACACTGAATACACACACACACACACACACACACACACACACACACACCACTGAAGGCTCCAACATTTCCCAGCCCTCTTTCCTCATTTATTTTTCTCCACAGCACTGATCTTCACTCAACACATCATTTATTTCACTTACATGTTTCATCTATTGTCTCATTCTGCCTCCTTTCCTCCACCAGTAGAAAATGTCCACCAGGGCACGGATTATTGCTGGATTTGTTTACCACTGTATCCCCAGTACCTAGAACTTGCATGCCTGACACATAATAGATATTCAGAAACAATATGCTGAATGAATGAAGGGCAAACATGGCCAGGGGCTCCTCCTCCAAGCTACTAAACACTATAGCCACTAGTTGTTAGGGATTAGTGCCCCTTTACACGAAAACAGTGATGTCTCAAAACCTGGGGAGACCTTAGAGTCATATAGGAAGAGAAAATGCGAAGGGGTCATCTGGAAAAGCAGGGAAACATGGTCTTGACTGTGAGCAAGGCTACACAATAACATAGACACTCCAGGGAACATGCATACTTGTCATACAGATTTCAACCAACCATTTTAAAGACACACTTCTTACAAAGTGCATTCAATAATGAATTGGCCATGACAGGACCAACGTTTAGTGCTCTCTCTCTCTCTCTCACCTAGAGTACACAAGGTGAACAATTTAAATTCAACTTGCACCAGAGCAAGCGGTCATCTCGGATGGTTTGTTCAGCCATTGAGAAGGAAGCCATGATGAAGAGAGGTCTATAGGGAGTCACTAAAGGATCACTTTCCCTGGGGCTCCAGTAGAGAAGCACTGATTTCTGAGGTCACTTTCAGCAGTCAGGATTTTGTTTCTCCCCATGGCTCCCTAATACCTTCTGGTTCAGTCTAACTCTCTCAACATAAAATTCAAGACCCTCCCCAGTCTGTCCCCAGTTCTCTCTGTCACTCCTGAGCCCATCCACAAGTTTTGTGGGCTTTTTCCCAGCCTCCAGAACCAATTCACTTTACTGCCTTCGTATCCTTGGCTATGCTGTTGCCTTTGCTCATGCTGTTTTTTAAGAATGTTTTCTCCTCTGTCATCTCTCTGCTCTTTCTCTCTTTCCTCAAGTCTTGCTTAAATGTTATTCCCTCTGTAAAGCCTTCCCTGTTCTCTTCAATTAGAGTCAGATGCAACAAATCTGAACTTCCTTAGCACCACTGTGAGAGAATGCTCTGTGAAGCACCTTATATTAAAGCTTGTGTGCCTGGCCCCCTGCACAGCATCTCCTGAGAGCAAGGAATATGGTTCCTTATCATGGCAAGCTTGCATAGCAACTTGAATAGAAGAAGGGTTTAGTAAATCGATTCAGGTCCATTGACAAGATGAAATCCTGAGAGGTAAAAATAAAGCAGCCCGCATGGGTTTACAGCTAACTGGACAAAGATACCCAGAGATGCCAGGTGGTTGTTAATGGTCTCTAACCCGAAGAGTGCGTATTCCTAGGATCTTATAGAGGAAATGGCGACAAGCTACTTTTCAATACTTAGAAAGTCATGGAAATCAGTCTTTTATTTATGATAAGAAAGCCAGGTCTCACAATAATACCAATCTAGCCCAAAGCAAAGAAACCTGATAGTAGCCCAGAGTTAATTGGTTACTTTACATTGAACACTAGATTGGAAGTTGTACCCAGCTTGTATTGCATTGTGGGGGCCATGTTGCCACTGATAGCACTGTGCTCACATAGGGCATGGTACCGAGCATGCACTCTATCAGCACCTGTTGATTGAATAATGAAATGATAAATGAGTAAATCCACTAGTGACAAAGGCATGTCTACGTTAAATATCTAGGTGTGACACTTTGAGTGGGGCAGTGACAGTGTGGCGCTCTTCTAGTGTTAGGTAGCCAGGATAATCCAGGGGCTAAAAACCCATGACATGGGAGCAAAGTGGGAGAGCCTAGAGATGTTTAACCCAAAGATGATAAAACTCAAGAGAACTTGATCACTTTTTCTTTCAAATATTTAAAGAGTTTTTATGAAAGGAGATATGACTTGTGCTGTGAGCTATCAGAGCCAGGACTTTGGAGAAGTGTCTAAGTGGCAGTCTTCAGATCAGCATAAAGAACTTTCTAACAATTGAAGTGTTTTTAAACTGGAAGTGTGCGGGGCACCCGGGTGGCTCAGTCGGTTAGGCGCCTGACTTCGGCTCAGGTCACGATCTCACAGTTCATGGGTTCGAGCCCCGCATCAGGCTCTGTGCTGACAGCTAGCTCAGAGCCTGGAGCTTGCTTCAGATTCTGTATCTCCCTCTCTGACCCTCTCCTGCTCACGTTCTCTCTCTTTCTGTCTCTCTCAGAAATAAATAAAACATTAAAAAAATTATTAAAAAAAAATAAACTGGAAGTGCCCATTGCAGGAAGAAGTGAGTTCTCCATCAATGAATGGATTTAAGTAATGGCTGGATGACCTCTTTATGGGGTTGCCAAGGACAGGGCTTCTACTATCTGTTAGGAGGTTAAACTAGACCCTCTTTCAAGTTTCATCACTCCTGAAAGTCCTTTAATCCAAATAAAAAACAGTATTTTTTTTTCTCTTATCCCATATACCCAAATGTATTAGCTGAGAGCTCTTACCTGTTTCCTGGTAAACTTCGTTAGCTTCATTCTTGGAAAATTAGAATTTTCAACATAACCGTGATGTGGTGGTTTGAGCAGAACAAATTGACAGTCAACTCCCTCAAAGTACTTGTTTGGAATTTGGAGATAGTCTTTCAGAAGTGCTTTGGAACCACCTTCCTGGACTGTGAGATTTTGTACCTCCAGAGGAATCCGCTTAGGGACGATATCCACCAAGATTTCAATTCCATTCACAGCTTGGGAACCGCTCACCACATCCAGTAAAAAACTGTCCTGTTGTTGGTCAGGAGTTTTCTGCACATAATGGATATTACCATCATCAATATCCTGTTGTGTAAAAATCAGAGGGGACTTTTCATCTGCACCCAAGCTGCCTCTCTCCGGTAAAGATTTTCGGAGGTATCCATGCATTGGCGGAATTCTGACGATGAACACTGCCTCTGAAGGAATATCTTCTTCATGCAAAGCCTTGAGTTTTTATACACAACACATAAACACAAAAAGAAAAACACATCAATACTCGTAAGAGTCAAGACCCCTTGATGAATCAGTTGTTCCCTATTAATGTCTACAAATGGTTTAAGTTACAATCAGGGTTAATACGCAGCTTAAACCTAGGTCTGGTTCGGGTGACCATGTCAATATTTGCTTTTAGCCATGGTTGCAAAGAAAAGCAATGGTCAACAACATTTGAATGCTACTAATGCATTAACAAAGCATCATTCTCAGCAGGAAGACACCCTGGACTCAGAAAGTTGTCATGAAAGAAATAAAATGGTAGAAGGAGAAGGAATAAAAAGATGGTTGAAGAAGCAGAGGCTGAATCACAAAAATTGCAAGACTTTAGAGGAAAGTTTACTTTTCTCTCCTATGTTAACTAGCTCAGCATTTTCAATATATATTTAATTTATTGATTCAGCAAAATCTATCTCAAACTGTCATTGTTAAGTGATTGAGAGTCACTAAACTACACATGCCCCCTGGTGGTGAAACACACACTCTCCAAGATCCTAAAAAAGAACTGAGGAAAGCTGTTGAGCCCCATATCCGGTAGTCAAACTCATTTAGTAAATTGCTTCTGATTTGTGTTCATTTCTTCTTGATGTTATTGGCTGCATTTAGCAAACCAAGTAACTCCTTTGCAGTCCTGAGGGTAGATTCAGGATAGCCTGTATTTGTGGCCAGTTGTCACAAATCACAGTTTGCACACTCTGTACAGGATTACCCTAAAAAGAACATTCTTTTCTGAGTGTGATCAGCTTTGCCTGCTGGAAGTTTCTAAGCAGGAGCCCCAGGAGACCATATTGCTTCTGGGGTGAGGTCTCACCCCAGACATTCCACAAGTCTAGGCCAATTTTATCCATCAATTTCAGGAAACTAAATGTGACCACATAAGGAAATGAAGTGTGTAATATAGGATCCTCTGCTGTTCTAGGATCTGCTAGATCGTCTGCTGTTTTTATGTTTAAGTTGCTCTAAATTCTTATACCCTGCTTCATCACATTATGAATGTAATTCAGATGAAATGAAATATTGGTAGTGTTTTTATAAAATGAGAAAAATAAAGATCTCTTAATTAACTACGATACACACATCACCTCCTCATCCCCAGTGCATCCTCCCGTAAGCATACACACATACTTGTGTGCTGGTGTGCACTAAGCTTTAATGTAAGACTTAGTGTAAGACTTAGTATCACTTATATTCCATTTCCAACTATAGGAAAATCAGTAGTGTCAAAATCCTTAAACCTTCCAGCCTTTCTTTTCAATGGTATTTACATTTTTTAAAAAGTCATTCTGAATACCAGGGGGAAAATGAACACAAAAATAGCTCTTAGAAGCAAACATATTACTCTTGGAAAGAATGCTTGCTAAAAAACATCTACCTACCTCGAGTCTTCCTCTACTCAGTTTTACTGGTTTTCCTTCTTCAACAACAAGGGTCTTGAGCAGAATTTGGTTGCCATGTTCGTGGTTTTTTGAGTACACTCGCACACAGATGCCCACTTCTACAATTATCTCTTGAACTTTCACTGTCAGGTTGAACATATCAGAATCGCCACTGCCGTCATGCCTATAAATCACGTGTCCTTGCTTCAAGTCATGCTGGGAAAATGCAAGGGACACTGAGTGGTTGACCAGCATTCTGCCGTGCTTTGGGGGCTGTACCATGTGGAATTCGATCTCGTGGTCCGTTCTGACATCTTGGTTTGTGGTGACACTGAGGTTAGCTGTTGTGAGGCTGCTGTCCTCTCCTCTCTGTACAAGCAGCCCTGTGTTGTTGGCTATCTGGATGTAAGGGTCTGATGCGCTGACCTCGAGAAGGAAGGATGTGTAGTGGACCCCATCCGTAACGAACAGTACAAAGCGAGCAGAGTCTGCACCCCGATGCCTGAAGAGCACCTGTCCTTCCTGTAGGTCATCTTGCCTGAACTGGTATAGTTTCTGAGAGAGATCACTGGCTCTCACCAAGTCCCCATTTGGGATGCCTCGGCGAGTATAGAGCAACTGCCCATCATCAAAATCTGAGTCGGGGTCATGGTAACAGAGATCTGCCAGGGTCAGCAGGCGCTGGCCATTTCTCACAACATGAAAGACCCTATCTACCACACGCACTGGCTTCTCATCATTCTTTAACCTTACAGAAATGGTAACTTTGATTTCCGTGGATAAATGCTCTGTGTCAAGATCCCTGACCACTCCGTCTTGGCCTGGTACTATGGCGGAGGCCACAAGGAGGAATTCATCATGCTGGGTCTCAGAATCATCGTGGACATACATCAGCCGCTCACCCACTAGGTCTTGATCAGTGAATGCGGTGATATTGTCATGACTTCCCAGAGGATCTGACAAGCTAATCAGTTTCAGCTTCCCGTGTTGAGGACTCTGGGTGATTTTATATTGGAAGGTCTGATTGTCCAATGTTTGAGCAAATAATTCTGATTTTGTAATTAATTTGCCTTCTCCTTCTTTTACAAATAACTCTCTGTTAGTCACAATAATGCGTGTCTTATCTGCTTCAAAGTTTATTCTGAAAGTATAATCTTTTGATTCTATGTGTTTTGCAACAATCAAGAACCTAAAGGTATCTTGTGTGTCTTCCCTGGGCCTCTCCTGTGGCTCATAACTTATCTTAGAGTTAGCAATGTTTTGTTGGCTGAAGACTGAGTTTGTTTTTAGAACTTTATTGCCAAGTAGCAATTTTCCTTTCTTGGGCGGGGTCAGTAACTTAAAATGCATTTCCCTCTGAGCTACATCCACACCCTCTGTCACAGCCTGCAAATGATCAGAATTCAATACTTGTCTGTTTATTTTACTGACCTTAAGAGGAACATTTTTCAGAAGTGTAAACTTTAGCCACTGTACGGTAATGGGAAACATTAGCTCTTCGCTGACTTTTCCTTCTACGTTAACTTTAAATTTAAAGTGATCTGTAACATTTTCTAGCTGTAACTCTTGAAATGTACTATGGTACCGCACCTGACCCCGATCAATGGAACGCTGAGAAAAGGTACTAACTTGTTTCCATTCGCCACTTGATCCCTGCCGCTGAATTTGGCCAAATTGGGGTGACTGAGTGATAGCATAGCGGGTCTCCATCTCATGGGGTCCACCATTAACCTCCACTGACAAGTTACTCTGTGTAATCAGAACCGTGCCACCCTGCTGGACAACTATACCGGTTCTAACGGCCACTTCAAAGTCCCAAGGAACAGCCATGACCCGTAACACTACTGTATTGCTAACCAGCTCTCCATCACTTGCTCTCAAAAGGATCCGGGAATTCCGAGGACCTCTGTGCACGTAGAAAATGCTGCCATCTCTTAAATCACCATACGTAAAACCATGAATTGCTTTCCCAGGATCATTGGTGTTTTCTAAAAATCCAACATCTGAATTAAAGTTGCCAAGAACGGAGAAACTAAGACTCAAGGAATCTGTGTCAGGGTCTAACACGTGTATTATATTTGGAGTCAGTTGTTTCCTAGAATGCTCAAACAGGAACAGCAAGTTTCCTTCGGGGAGCTTAAGGTGTGGGGGGTCATTTACTGGAATGACAGTAATGTTAAACACATATGGAACATGGCCCTGCAGATAAAATGGCATTTCCCGCTTGCTGCTGGAAGAGACTGAAAATGTGAAAACATCCCTAGGTTCTTCCGAACCATCATGGACGTACCAAACTTTCCCTTGCCCCAAATCTAACATAGTGAAAGCTTTCTCCATTTCCTGCACAGGGGAAACATCCAACTGAAGGAACCCATGAAGGGGCATTTTCTCTACTTTAAATAGAATTTGAGAATGATGGATACCCAAATCTTCAGATTCCACATCCACTTTCAGATGCCTTTGTTCCAGTAAGGCTCGCCCACCTTCTTGGACCTCCAAGTTACTCAGACTCAAGAAAGAGCTACTCGCATCTTGAAAAACAGGCTTGCCTGCCTCAGCATCGGTGGTGGAAAGGGGAACCTCTGACTGAAGTAGGTTTTCCATTGTTGTTATAAAAGGATTTTCATTATCACTACTCCTCGTTTTACACCCTGCAGATGTATCTTTGGAAACAAGTGCATCCTTCAATGCTCTCTTTTCTGAGTTGGCTTCCAAGCCTCTTAAGCATCCTTTCAAAGAGATTCCTCGAGCTGATTTCCTAGGCACAGAGGCAAATCCTAACTTCCTAACTTCTTCTCCCTTGCGGACATCAAGACCTCCCAGAAAGAGGGGGCCTTCAGATACAAATGGCTTGCTTTGCAAAGGCAGCAATGTTCTTACCCTTTGCTCATCCACCATCAGGTTGAGATACCTTCCAGTGAACTTAAGTCGAATAACGTGCCACTTGTTGTCACTAACTAAGCTAAAGGAAGAGAGCTGGGTGGTGCTTTTGCTCCTTCCTACATGAGCTCTCAATAGACCATTAACGATTTCCAAAGCAACAAAATGTCCTTCTCTACCCGACTGAAATAAAAGCAAGGCTTGTTGCGTTCCAGTCTGCAAAGCAAATTCCAACAGCCCCTCCCCATGCACCCTCCATTCCGGGAAGGTGACATAGGATCTGGAGCTAAAGAAATTGATGGCTTCATCCACTCCTGCAAAAAATTCATCATTGCATCCTAGTGACACTTCGTAAACCTTCTTAAAGCCAGGGTAAGATCTAAGGGATGCAAGGATCTCCTTCTGGTTAAACAGCACATCCTCCATACATCCACGGAAATTGGGGAGCTCTCTATCCAGGTAAGGGACATCAAGTCCACCGTGGCCTGCTACGTAGATTCCATGTTGAAAGTGCAAATTGCGCGCCCCATCAGGGATCTGGCCCATCGTCTCATATTGTTTGTCAATAACCATAGAGATATTGTTTTTCACATAGTACAGTTCCACTAAATGCCAAACCAGGTCATCCATTCGAAGTTTTTGCTCAGCAAGGAGCACTTTTTCATGTGCACCCAAATTCACCCTCACCTGAAAGAGAAAGAATCATAATTAGTCAATCTCATTGTGTTTTACTGAGAAAACAGGGCCATTCATAAAGAGAGAGAGAGAGAGAGAAGGAGGCAGAGCAACTGGGACTTGAAACTGCTTTCCACATTTAGGGGCTATACAATGAGGTCAAAAATATTCAGAGTCAGAATATTTCAGGCACGCTGGTAAAATTGGGGGAGATCCCAACTTTTCAAATGGCACATGATTTTATCCTAGTAATAGTAATCAAATGGATAGCTATTTTGTTCTCTTTCTCTCTCATGGCTTTTCCTCCAGTAACTGGATGCTTACACGTTTTTAAAGATTTAAGAAAATCTTACCTGCAAGTTTCCTGATAGAAGTTCTATTATACAGTAGTCATTTTTCCCAGCTGCAAGAAAAAGCAATCCCCGTGGTTTGCTGGTTTGAAATTTTAATTGAAGGGATAATTCAGAAGCAACTTCTAAGATGTTGAGCTCCACATAACTCTCACCATAAAAAGATGCTAGAGAAACATTTTTAAGAGAAGTGTAAGTTAGTAAGTTTATTACACAATGGCCATTCCGCTTTCTATTGTCATCTCCCTTCGGGGACTGGCCCTGCTGAAGAAAGCTGGGGTAGCCCACAGATCCCATGTGGGCATCCAAAGGCTCAGTGTTCTCTTGCCCCAACTCAAAACAGCTCTGATGGGTCCTTCCCTCTTCAGAACTCTCAGGAAGGGCGGCCAAGGCTTCTGTTGAACTGAATCCAAGTCCATGTACCCAATCCCGCTTCCTTCCCTACCACAGGGATCATCTTAAACCACTGGTGGTGAACTGGAGTAGGAGCAGAAGGGACAACGCTAGCCAGCTATGAAAATCAGGCTGTGAAAAATACAGGGCAAATAATAGCTACTAGGACGATGAATTGAATGTCTATTGCTAAGTTTGAATGAAGCTTTGGACAAAGATAAGGAAAAGCTAGGAGAGATTAGTTGACAGTTACAAGGTAGAGAGCTTCCCTGGTAGCATACACAGTCTTTCTCCTTTCCTATGGCAGGAGAGCAGTGGAAGGTAAGACTCCAGGAATAAATCATCAGGGAAGTCAACTGCAAATAGAGTTAAAGTCCCATCTATAACAGGCTTGCTCTGACAAAGCTAAGGCCCTGGTTGGGAAAGAATAGGACCTTGATGTATGGACGTGGGGACATCTAGGCTGATGCATACAAATACCTTGGGTCCCTAGATCTCTCTGAACCATCTTAGCCTGCAGAAGTGGCCTCTTTCCCTATTAAGGCCAGCATGTGCCTTGCTTAAAGAGAATGCAAAGGCCTCTCCTCACAAGTAACATTTGACCTCTCAAGATATACTGCCATCTCTCTTCCTGGCTAGTAGGTCAAAAACAAAGGTTAAGTCAGAGCATACCTGTGTGGGGACATGTTGGGCTTGATACTAGATCCTAATGTAGCTGTAGGACCGCGCCAGGTATAGTCTCAATTGCATGTGCAATTGAGGGTGCCTGAACAAGGGAGCAAAGCATAAATTTAGGGCACTCTCCAGGGATATAGGATATGATACCTTGGAAAAGAGTACTGGAAATTGGTGTGAACTCACTGCTAAAGTGGCTCCTAGATGCATAGAAAATGCAACAGCTCACTATAAGGGGGACAGACACGACAGAATTACCATGACAGATGAAAGAAAGAGATGGAAGTGGTATATCCAGGACTGAGCATAAATAGGACCAAAAGAAGGTATAAGCAAGTACACCAGATGGCAGCCCAGAGCTCCATGTGATCACCATTCTTGAGCTAGCACCTTTCCTCAGCCCTCACATATGGCTGCATGGGGAAATCTCGTGTTACCAGCTGATGGAGGAACAAAACACCTAAGCATGTCTCACAGAAGAGTCAGCTTCATCATATGGATGCATGATGAAAATAGACTCCAACCGCACCATAGCTCCCCTTAGTGGCAGCCATGAAAACCACTAGTAAGGGCCATGCTCCAAATGGATAGGACTTTGGGTGGAACACCTAGTCATCTACTTTACACAGAGAGAAGTGGCCTGAGATTCAAATAAATAAAGACTGATAAAGAGTGGCAAATGGCCTGGCCAGATGGTCAAGAGCCTAGAATGTGAAAGACTGAAAGAATAGGAGCAAGGAGGTATGGAATTGATGCATGAAGAGAGAAAATCTCTACACTGCAAGTTAATGCCCACCAGAAAACACCCACCACAGAATATGCATTAAACAACCAGACAGACAGAGTACTTGGTAAGCTGACATTAGCCAGCTTCTGTCACCTGCCTAGGGAAGCTTAGGGACTTATGCAGAGTCAACAGTTACTTCAAAACAGAGCAAAGACAAAACCCAAGCCTTCCCCATCACCAATCCAATGTTTTCACTAAGATGCGAGGCTCTTACAGAGATGAATCTGGTCTCTACAGACTTTTTCAGATACATATAAGCACTCTTCTCTCTAGTTAAAAACAGCCATTAATAATGAAATAATCATTCCGTCAAACCAGAATGTAGCAATAAGGTCGTAAAGACGAAACAAGCTATTACATACCCACTAGCTATCTCACTTAGTGTATATAGTCCTGGTGTTTCTCATTACGAATCCCCCTCCTCTGATTTTTGACTGACTTAGAGGCTGTATTGTTAAGTTTTCAAAACCAGGAAATGTTTTCTAAATCATAAAATCTACTGCTGAGAATGACTAAGTAATATTCTATTTTCCCACGGCTCACCTCCCTGGCACTAAATCAATTCCAGACTCAGCTGGTGGCTAGAAATTTCCATTATCTCAAGGGAAAAAACAAGGAAGCAGGTTTAAAACTTCTGGCTTGACAGTCTGGTCATACATCTCCAAATGGACCCCAACTTCTGTGGCTCCTAGTTAAGTGCCTCAAAATAACAGTAAAAAGCAAATCAAAGCACAAGAAACACTAGAAAGAGAAAGGTGACCTCCACCTGCAGTGAAGGAAAAGGTGTGACTTCAGCATCGCATGCACAGAGCAAATCAAAGTGACCAAAAATCAGAGCAACTTCCTGGTTTGATGTGCTTATATAAAAGGTGAAATGGTTGAATGGAAGCCAAAGACTGGCAATCCGGTGGGTAAAAGACTTTTCAGAGAAAATAAACATTGATAGTTCTCTATAATTTCTCCCAAGAAGATGATTATTTGATTCATTTTTCTCTACCTTGGAAATGGTTTCCATTTCTTTTTCCAAACTACAGTTTTCTGTTTTTCTTCTTTGGTTTTGATTTCATTTTGGGATTTTTGATTTATCATTTATTGAGCACCTCCTATGTGCCAGTACTATCAGGAGTCAGAGGTAGGAAATTACTAACACAGAAGTGCTTGCAGACTATCAGAAGAGAAAGCTGCTCAAAAAGCAGGGCATATCCAATCCAGGTGGTAGTAGAAAATTGGTACAATAGCAGCGTGTTTTTGTGAAGGGAGGAGCAATCTGCCCATAAAGCATCTCTCCCTGGCAGATTTAAGAGCCTGTCCTTTATGAACTTTTGCTGCCCACAAATATACCAAGTGCTTGATTGGTCCTGGGGATCTGAAGGTGAATGACACAGACTGCCGATCAAGCAATGACACTGGCTTGATTATAACCCGGGACACGTAGACCACAACTGAGGCACTCGGCCGAGTCAAGGGGAATGGACTAAAGGTGTTTCCAGTAGGCAAGACAATGGCTTCCGGGAAGACCTAGTGAGGGCCAGGCGAGAGAAAGAGGAGACAAACAAGGGGGAGAAATAGAAGAGAAAGAGACTGGTGACTGCAAGGAACCAAAGGTCCAGCCTGGCTGAGCACAGGGTGAGAGGGGAGTGGCCTGGGTAAAAGGTACAGAGATATGAGTGGGCAATGGGCAGAGGGCACATGCTGCTGTGTCCAGCTGCAAGGCCTTCCCTGAACTTTCCATTTGAAGTAGCCACTCTTTGGGGCACCTGGGTGGCTCAGTTGGTTAAGCATCAGACTCTTGATTTGGGCTCAGGTCAGGATCTCACGGTTTGAGAGATCGAGCCTTACGATGGGCTCTGCACTGAGCAGAATCTACTTGGGATTCTCTCTTATCTGCTCTTTCTACCCCTCCCCTGCTCAGGCTCTCTCTCTCAAAATAAAGAAAGAAACATAAAAACAACAACAAAAGTAAAGTGGCTAATCCTTTCGAGGCCTCTAACATCATCTCTAGTTACCTTCTTTATTTGTTTCCTGAGTTATTACCCAGCTCCAACTGCACACCACCCAAAAGAGATCATGAAGATTTGAGGGCAGGACCCTTTGCTAGTCTTGGTCACTGCTCAATCCTCTGTACTTACAAGAGTGCCCAGCACATAGTAAGCCCTCAATCAATGATGACTTTGGAAGTGAAGGTAAGAGTTCAGACTCTATCCAAAGAAAGCCATAAAGGGAGCAAACAGAGAAATGATGTGCCCAGGCTGCAATTTAGATGATTTTGGCTGGAGTGAAGAAAATGGGCTCAAAGGGATAGTGGCGAGCAGACAGGGGAGAAGTGGGTGGGTTCAAGAAACATTTAAAAAGCTAGATTATCTAGGAGGGAAAGGGAAAGGATGGAGAAGGAGGCAATCCAGATTAATTTTGAGATTTCTGCCTGGATATCCACTTCCTGAGAAGGGGGCCCTGAGAGGGAAGCTTCTGTTTCATTTTGCTTTGTTTTGTTGGTACATATATGACGAGAAATTCTCCAGAACATTCAGAAAGCAAATGGCTAACTGAACACCTGGATCCCAGGGGCTGGGACCCACTGATGGGGGGAGGGGAGCCTTAGAAACCACATTAAGAAGATTGCAGACAATGGGGAAGATGTGGTTTTTAGTTGGAAGGAAATATCAATTCCATATTTTAGAAAGACCGGCCTGATGACTGTGTGAGGGCGAAACAAGAGAGGGATAAAAACTAATTACAAAAGCATTAAAAAGAGAGAGAGAGATGGGGCGCCTGGGTGGCTTAGTTGGTTGAGTGTCCGACTTTCGCTTAGGTCATGATCTCGGTTCGTGGGTTCGAGCCCCACGTCGGACTCTGTGCTGACTGCCAGCTCAGAGCCTGGAGCCTGTTTCAGAGTCTGTCACTCCTTCTCTCTCTGACCCTCTCCTGCTCACGCTGTCTCTCTCTCTCCTAGAAATAAATAAAAATATTTTAAAAGAGAGAGAGAGAAAGAGATTTCAGCACTGTTTGCTTTCCCTGGGAATTAGAGCTGCCTTTTCATAATATAACATCGTCGGCAATTTTATATTATACCTTTTATGTATTGCTTTTTTCCCAAATATATTCCATAGATGATATACGTATAGAAGCTTGTCTTAAAAATTAAAATACAAAACCACAAAAACAAAGGTCTCCGCTAGAGCATTTGCGTGATACAAAGTCCTGAGACAGGTTGTGGGAGAAGGGCTAACATTATAAAGCAGTTCTTCCTCACACTGATCCTGTGAGGAAAATCAATGCGCTCGAACAGGAAAGCCACTTTTTACCCCCAAAGCT